ACCACAAGCTGTACACCAGTGAAAGGTTACATGCAGATAATTACAGAAACAATAAAAACATATACAACCAAGCAGGGATTAGAATGGGAACTGTTCCTCCTCAAATGTGATCAGTCTGGCTCCTTGGGGGCCAGTACCTGAACATAAATGATATGTTTTCTATACAGCAACAAACTGAACATAAAGATTATTATTTAATACAATCCTTAACTTACCACCAAAAGACAAACTTATCTTGTTAATGAGCCTCTCTGCAGCACCCAGTCAACATCTGCCAACAGAGGACAAGGGGAAGGAAAAACAAACAAAAACAAACTACAAAAAGTTTAAAATGTTATACATGAAAGACATACAGTAATTGACTCGGATATAAAAAAAAAAAAAAAAAAATTCTCAGAGTTTCCTCCACATAAAGTCTGTAGTATCATTTACTTCACATACTCTCTACCTTGTTTGTAACGCCAACTCACCCACTTCTTCAAGTTGTGTCTCAAACCACAGATGAAGAATTGCTGTTGGAAGACATGTAAGAGGTCCACCTGCAGGATGACTTGAGAACAGGGCAGAGGTCACAAGCAGGATAGACCTCTCAGAAGAAACCTCAGTCAAATGGACAAAGATGACTACTGTACCAACAGACAAGTATAGAAAATAAAGGTTGAACACAAAATGTAGTCCCACCGTCATAAACAGCATCAAATTACAACAACGTAACCCTAACAGTCATTACAATCAGTGACATCTACTCATTTTTATATGACAAAACCATAGCAAAAATAATTGTAGAACCACAAAGGAAAATAATAATTAAAACCACAAACATTCACTAATTAAAACAGGTAAAGTGAATTATTTGTCACTGTGACACAGCACATCAAATTTAAAAAAAAAATCTCTGCTGTTTAATGTAAGAACCCATAAAGACCACAAACTAAAAGGTTTCATACCAGAGGACAAATAATTTTGATGCAAGACAAATGTAAAGACCCACAAATGAATAAATACAAAGAACCAAAAATAAATTTAAAAAAATAAACCTAAACCACACACACATCAGATTAAATATAACCACAATCAAACCAAAACATACAATTTTTATTCAAAATGTTCTGACAAGGCCAAACCGATTTAAATATCAAGAAAATCAGCAAAAACACAGAACCACAAATGAAATTACAAGTTAAATCACAAATTAGGACAATAAAACCTTGTAAAGACCTACAAATAAAAATACAATCATAAGAATCAAAGACAAAAGAATAACTGCATTTTATTTTTACTTAATAACCATCAAGAAGACCAAATAATAAAGAATAACCACAATTAAATAATAGCAATACACTTTTCCTTAAAAATCATAAAAAAAAAATTATACATACACAATTATTTATATAGAATACAAAACCTGACAACTAAAGAAAAAGACACAAGAAAAACACCTCAAAACCACAGCAAAAACACAAGAACCAAACAGTAGATCAAAATAATATCCACTCCAATGTAAAATAAGAATTTAATCTGAAACAAAACCAAAGCAGTTAACAGGCTTCAGCTCTGGCCTGTAGGGGAAGCACTGCTAACTAGCTGTACCCGAGCCTCCACATGAGGCACTGAGTGGCCTACTTCACAATATTAAAGAGTTAGCAGCTAACAGCTAACAGGCTTCAGCTCAGGCCTGTAGAGGCAGCACCACCACCACAATACTGCTAACTAGCTGCACCTAAGCCACCTCTTCCACATGAGGCACTGAGTGGCTTACTTCACCAGATGAAAGCATTTGACCAAAACCAAAGCAGCTAACAGCTAACAGGCTTCAGCACAGGCCTTTAGAGGCAGCACCACTACACAACACCACTAACTAGCTGCACCTGAGCTACCTCTTCAACATCAGGACACTGAGTGGCCAACTTCACTAGATGAAAGCATTTGACCAAAACCACAGCAGATAACAGCTAACAGGCTTCAGCTCAGGCCTCCTAATCGCCTAGCCCATCACCTGACAACCCCCAGGACAGAATAAAAACAAAATAAACAAGGAACACACAAAAAAGCACAGAATTAACAAAACCAACAACTCAATAATTTACAACACCTAAATACACATACATACTCAAAGACAGGAACGAAAACAGGGTTAGCATTAACTTAACCCTAACCAAAGAAGCTAACCAGGCCAGAAAATGGAAGGAAAAGGACAAAACTAACATATAAAAGGATAGTACAAAGGAACCATTGCATGACCTACCTGAACCACCACAGAGAACATCACCAGGAACCGTTAGAGTGAGAACTGAGCCATTTGGAGGCCTTATATACTACACCTGGGTAAGGGGAGGGGCCAAGAGGAGGGGCTAAAGGATAAACTAGGGGAGGGGCTAAGTGATGAGCTGGGGAGGCTCACTGAGATGTGTGTACAACCTTCACTACACTAAGAACTAAAAATAGAATCTTATTCTGGGATGACTAAAATGACAATAAGGACTTACTATACTATGACTTCCATGAAAAAGAATTAAAATATAAAAGTAGCCAAAAGTGGCTTGAAATTTAATTTTAGACACTAAAACATGTGACTACATTTAAATCATCTGTTCAGTAATCTAAACTACCAACTATATATATATATACAGTGGAACCTCAAGATACGAGCACCTCAACATACGAGTATTTTGGGTTACGAGCAAGCCGCCAAGCAAATTTTGGCTTCGAGACACGAGTAAAGACTTGAGATACGAGCACAATTACAGACGCCGGTGCTAGGTGGCCAAGCACTCGGAGCAGCCCACGACGCCTCACTCGTTCACTTGACATATTACTCTACTTCCGTATGCATCTCCCGCAAGTCTTCCGTATTGTGTTTGTGTTATCTACGTGATTTTCTCTGTATTTTGTGCATTACTCTTCATTATAGTGATGAGTCCTAAGAAAGTGAGTGTGAGTGTCGAGTACACAGTTTTAGTATAGTGTGCAGTGAATTTTCTAACCCTAACCCTAACAAAGAAGTCAGTCTGTAATCAACCTAAGAAAGACTTGGTCGACTGAAGCCGTGAAATTTACTTTGAAAATCGACTAATTATGAATAAACATAAAGACTAGTAGTCTATCTGCTTAATATTAAATTAGTTTTGACCTAATTATTTTGGACTGAAATTAACTACACACTCAGCTTTGACAGTGTTTTGCATAACGTGCATCTACGCAATATCACAGCCCATGATTTCTGAAAATATATTACCATGTCAACTAGTGACATCAACACAAGAACTAAGGAAAATCCAAAAAATGGTTTTCGTTAAAATAATTCAGACACCATCTTTTCACTCTGCGCATGTCCTCCCACAGAGCGAGACCGAACACAGTTAATTTCAGTTAAGTCACTGATGATCCATCGCTGACTTGAACCTCTGTCCTGTCCATAATTACAGTGAGAGGCGGATCTATTTTCTTAAAAAGTTTTAATTTAGTGACTGCTGATCACGGACGTCGATTTATGTTCATGCTGGTGGGTGATCGCTGTGCGTGGTTGCTCATCAGTCTCCGTTGTTCCTCGGTAATCTCCGTGGGTGTTCCAACACCGAAGCACCCATGGAATCGGTGTCTATGGTGCTATAATGTGCTATAATGTGAAGTCGGGTCATCCAAACATTACACAGTTCGGTGATAGAAACTGGAAGAGGACATGTAAAAAAGCTGCAAGAGGCAATATGTATAACAACCCGAGGAGGGTGGCAATGTACAGTAATATTATTGCAATATAGTATTCTACATAGCATTATTTAGCAAGGGGTGCTTGAGCTATTAAATGACAAGGTTGAAATAATTTGCCTATGTTTAAAAAGGGTTAGATGTGTTTATTTATTTAACATAGTGTGGCGCTTTGGCCAAGAGGTAATGTCTCTGTAATTGGTGTGGAACCCCAGGTTCGAATTCCAGTTTGGGTGGTTGGTATCATCCAATGGACTCAGCACATGCAGGAAGGTTCATGGAGACCCTGCGACCCGGTAACAGATAAGCGGATGAAAATGGATGGATGGATGGATGGATTTAACATAATATGTTGTGTTCAAAATATAGAACAAAATATCCAATTACTTTATTTGCTTTTTGTCCAAACCAAATGTATATATATATATATACAAATACAGTGGTCCCTCTTCTATCCCAGTAGTACTGTTCTAAGACCCACCGCGAAAAGGGAAAATCTGAGAAGTAGAGTTGAGATAGTTAGTATATTATTGACATATTAATTTAGCCTTAACAAATTTCACCAACACTGTTATCAACTCTCCCTATAGACTTACCCTTTCCCACACAGTTATATTCACAGTAGAGTTGTAGAATGACATACATATTACGTCAATAAATTAAATACACAACGCAGCAGAGTTGAGCACTCAGCTGCAGGAGGGAGAGCACGGGAGTGGTGACGGAGGTGAGGGCAGTTGGAGTAATCTGCTTCTCTCCTCATATCAGGAGAAGCCGGGACCAAAGAGAGAGGAGAGTGAACAGAGGAGAGATACTGGCCGGACGGGTTAGGGTTAGGTTAGACGGACGGACCGTATATGAAGGGCGGGCATAGGCAGGAGAGGACATTATTGTAGAGACAAATAAGGGCTGTTAACTCATCACAGTCATCTGTGTCAGCGTCTTGGTTTGGACTTGGTAACAGAAGTCTGAGAAGATGATCAGAGGAGTTTAGGAGGCATCGTAGGACGTTAGATTCAACTTTCACCAAACACCAGAGCACTAACTTTACAGCAACAAACTGTAGTGGAGGACAAGGGGAGATGATGAGAGATGATACGATGAATGAGCCAATCAGCGTGAGTAACACAATCTCCTCTAGGAAAACCTAAGCTACCATGATGTCTTTTAGTTTATTATTTGCTATATTTTTACTGTTTCAATTTTGTTTAGGTTAGAACATGTTCTTTATCACGAAAATAATGAAAAAATTGGAAATACAAAAAATATTTACTGTAAAATACCGCGATATAGTGAAACTCGCAAGATTGAAATACAAAAAATCCCAGATAATCCCAGACTGAGGGAGCAAAAGGAGAACCGAGGGACCACTGTAATAAAAAAAACACTGTATCTTCTGAGCAAAACTGATGATCTTACTTAATAAAATCCAGTTTTTTATGTTAAATACAGTGACATTCTCCACACTGTAATCCATTAATATCACAGTAAGTGTCTGTCTAACAATTTCTCTACTGACATTCCTGCCACTGGGCATTTGCTATTTTGCTATTTTCAGTTGTTTAAAATATTTATGATTTCTGAAAAGACGTTGCTCTACTGACTTTAATGAGCCTCAGCCTATGCTTAATTACTTGTTCATATTTATTTTGAACCCTTCTTTTAATTATAATTTCATGATCATTTTATATAGCTTAGCTTAGATTTGACCTGACATGAAGAGTTGTAAATTAACAAGTTAGTTTACAGATCTACTTAACATGCAGAGTATACATGAAGAGTGCACAAATATATGAGTAATGTGACGTATGAGACGTGTGCTTAAAAGTACACTGGACGTGTTTAAATCACTAGTAGTACATTTTAAAAAAAGAATGTGTTTTTTTTAAACATTTATTTAGCTTTGACAATGTAGTTTGCATATATAAGACATACATTCCCTTGATTTTTTTACAAGTCTATAACAGTACAGAAGCAAGTTCATTGTTGAAACAAAGATAAGTAAAGTAGTGAAAGTAAAGTATAATATTTAAACCCATAACCTCCCCTCCCCCCATTCATTGCAGTAAATGTCCATTTGTAATCATTCTACCTCCAGCATCATAGTTGAGAACCTTGGACTTAAACTGGACATTTTGACATTTAAATATTCTTGTTTAAAAAGGAGGTAAATTTGAAGTTGGAGTATGATGGAGCATTGTTGACATCAGTAGAAGCTACAGGGAGCAGCAGGAGTCCAGTGCTGAAGTCTCTGGTGCAGCGCTCCATCGCCTGTTTGTATGATATTTTCTCTTTAGTGATGGGGTCCACCAGCTCTTTGGTGTGGGACACTTCGTTCTCCAGATCACTGAACATTGTGCTGTCAATTATATTGATTTTCACAGCTTCTGTGAGCGTAAGGCGACCTGCTTTGCTGGGATCCACCAACCCACCAGTGAGATACTGGGCCTCCAGGTACCTTCTAGCATTTTCCTGGGGAATATATCCTTTTTGTGCTGCCTGACCCACTGCAAGACGTTCCTTAGTCACAGGGTCTTCAACCCCAGTGAAGGCTTTCTGGGCATTGAGGAGTTTGTACATCACACCTGTATCAATAAGGCCGTGTTCAGCCGCCTTATGGACAGACAGTTTGTCCTTTTTGTTAAGGTCAACTATACCACCAGATGCCGCCTGTGCCTCCAGCAACTTTAGAGCTGTGTCGGCATCAATTAGTTTGCGGGTGAGAGCACTTCTCACAGACATGCGGCTTTCTGTGGTTTTATCATAAATACCAGAGATAGGGAAATGCTCGTCGACTGTGGAAGGACTAAGTGGAGACGTTGGAGTAACTAAATTGTTTGTGCTTCCACTGAGGTGAGAGTTGAGGCTAGGGTACGACGACCTCAGAGAAGCTGGCATTGAGTTCAGTGGAGAGGTGGGCATGGTTTTAGTGGGGGATTTTGGGATTAAAATTGGAGGAACAACAGGCTTTTTGGTTTCCCCTGCGACAAGAAGTGCAAACTCAGAAATGGGCATCTTCCTTTCTTTGAAGCGAGTGAAATCATATTTGGAAAGGCGACCCGCCATAATAGCATCATTGACACAGTACTGCCTTCCGCTCTTGCGATCCTGCAAAATGGTTGTATCACCATCTGGACCAGTAGATGTGATCTCCTCCCAGTCACACTCTAATTCTGCCAGGTGAATGTACTGGTTCCGATCAATCAGCCCCTGCAGGTAGGCATCATAAGGAGACATGTCCTTACCAGTTTCTGGGTCTAGAATAGTGATCTTGGTGGAAAGATTTGTCTCTCTAGTGTGAGTTTCAATCTGGTCCTCTTTTCTAATGGTGTTCTGCAGCTCTATTAAGAGCGCCTCTTTCTGGTGTATTTTGTCTTTTTCACTCAGGATCTCTCTCTCCAGTCTCTGTATTTCCGTAGAGGTTTTCAAACTCCTTTGCCGTGCCAGTTGAGTTCTCTCACTCATGAGCTTGGATTGCTGCTGGAAGGTCATGGTGATGCTCTGTCTTTGATTCTCTAACATTTTGAGCTGTTTTAGAAGATCCTCCTTTTCTCTCTGCAGAGCATCCCGGCCACTGATGACGGTTTTCTCCTCCTGAGACGTCACAGTCTTTGTGGTCTGCAAATGAGCGATCTTGATGCTGAAGTTCTGGATATTGTCTTCCTGGTCTCGTCTGAGGTTCCTCTCCATTGTCACCAGCTCTCTCAGGTGATCTCTTTCAGCCTCCACTGCAGGGTCTTTCTCCACACGAACAACTTCTCTGTAAACAACCTTCTCCACTGACTTTTCCTTTTGAAGAAGTTCCAGTTTTACCTTCAAGTTGCGTATTTCCCTTTCCAGACGACTAATGTTGCTGCCCTCTTTCTCTAGATCAACACGAATGGCATCAGTTAGTTTCTCTAGCTTTGGATCTCGTTCCACTTTCAGGACTTCTTCTATGATTATTTTCTCCTCAACAGGTGGGGGAGCATTTTCCAGTTCCATGATGCAAACTTTGATTTGCCTAAGTTCAGACTCCACTTGAATCTTTTTCTGACGGTCATCCATTTGGACCAGTGTGCTCTCTCGCTCTTGAACCAGGGCTTTCATTTGTCTGACCTCTAACTCAAGCTTCCTGCGGGATTTAACTTCTTCATCCACTTCCTTGTTTAACTTATCATGTTCCAGAATCTGCTTGGGGTCTTTCTGAAGACGAAATACTTCCTGTGTTATGATCTTCTCCTCTGGCTTTTGCCTCTCTAGAACAATATATTGGTTCTGTAGGTCAAACAGCACCTCCTCCACACTGCGGCGCTGCTGAATCTCCTCCCTGACATTTCTCCTCAGTCTGTCTGCCTCCTTTTCAAGAAGAGGATCATTCTCATACTTGATGACATCCTTAGTCACTAGTTTTGTCTCTACTATGGATTTTTCAGCCTTTAGCTCATCTCTCTCTTTACGAAGATGGGAAAGGAGCTCCAGGGTGGTGTCACAGTTGAGTCGTAATCGGGAAACTTGGTTGTTAAGCCTTTGCAGTTCCCTGAGAACCTCAGGACTTTTTTCTTCTTTGATTACTTCCTGTGTCAACTCCTTGTACTCTACTTTAGGTTTCTGAGCTCGCAGTGAGGTCACAGTTGTGGTCAAAGTGTTGATTTCTTTTTCAATCTCTGTACGGTTGTGGCTGCTGTCCTGCAGCTCTTTCTTAAGACGTACCAGTTCTACCTCTGTCTCGGGGTCCACTCTGTAGATCTCATTGATGATCTCCTTCACCTCAACCTTTGGCCTGAGCTTGTCCACTTCACTATATTGTAACTGAAGGCTGGTCAAGTCCTTCATAAGTATAACGTTCTCATCTTTCTCCTCTTCTAATGCCATTCGTAGTTTCTTCGACTCTTCAACTGTGTCAGGGTCTTGCTGGATTTGCTTCACAACCTTGCTGACTATCTTAGGCTGGATAGTGGGAATGATTCTTTCAAGTGTATTTATCCGACTCCTTGCACTAAAGATGTCCTCGTTCAGAGAGTTACACCGAGACTCCTCCTCTGCAATATCACCCTGAATAGTAAATACAGCCTTTAACATTCCAGGATCCTTTTCAAGCCTCACAACTTCCTTCTTGACAATCTTCTCCCTGATTTTTGGTTTCTGTTGAGCCAGAAGTGTGAGTTCAGATTTGACATGAATTGACTCTGTGTCTCTTGTTTGCACTTCTTTCTTTATCCTGTGAATCTCATCTCTGAACCTGGCTGCCTCCTTATCTAGCTGTGGGTCTCTCTCATACTCAGTCAGGACCTTAGTCACCAGTTTTGGTTCGATTTTCAGCAGCTCTGCTTCCATTGTGATAACCTTTTGTCTAATTATTTCTATCTCAGAGCGGGTTGTTGTTCTCTTATATGACTCATCCTGGATTCTCTTCTTCAGTGACTCAAGTTCTAGCTCCAGCTTCGGGTCCCGGTAGTACTGCACTACCTCCTTCTCCTCTAACCTCTCCACTCCTCTTCTGTTTTTCAGGGAAACAAACCTCTTGCGGTATGTTTCCAAGTTTCTTTCAGCATGCAAACGCCTGCTTATTTCCTCATTTAGTTCCTTTTTTAGACTATCACTCTGCTCCAAGTCCCTCTGCTGAGACTGGAGCTGCAGCTGCTGATTGACAACCACCTGGTTGACTTTTTCTTCATTCTGATGCAAAACAGCAGAAGAAGAAAAGGAGAATGTCAGAAAATTAAAAAATATATATATAGTAAAGGTCATGAGAATTTTACTTTTGATCCAAAAATGTCATACTCGGGCCATCACGTTTTTTGCCATCCCCAAATGATTATTTAGCTGGTTGTTCTTTGCAGATACAGCAGAGAAAAGGTTGACAAGATCTTTCTCCTACAGAAAAGGCAAAAAGACAAAAATGATTCTCTTTGTTGTTGTTGAAATGTCAGAAAAGTATTTAATCATCATACTTTTCGCTGAACAGCCTGAGCCAAAGTTGAAGTTGGACGTTTTTTCAGAACTGGCTCATCATTGTTGTCATCGTCATCATCGCCGTCATCATCATTCAGAGTTCCACAGTATGTGTTGGAATTCACCTCGTACTCCTGAAATGATTTAAAAATTTTCATCATCGTAGGTTCCCTGAACTTAGATGTTCAAAAATTTAATTTTTTTTTTTCAATTGAAACTTCGAATTGCAACTAGTCCTACAACATGACATGACAATATTTACAACATTTAAAAATAAATCTGATGATTTTCAACATTACATTTAAGGTATTCTGCAGATCTCGAGAAAGCTCCTTTACTCGATCCACATCATCTGCCTTCCGTTTGATGTCCTCCATCACTTTCTGGATAGGAGATTTATTGGCATTTGTAGAACAGTGTATGTCAGATTTAGTTCATTTTATACATGCTGGAGACAACTCACCCTCTGAGAGTTCTGCTTGGACGTCAGCTGCACTGCAGTGTCTGTGGGTTTGACTTCATTATTTGGTAAATTGACCAAAAAGAAGTCTAGTGAATGATAAGCATTCTGGAAATCTTGGTTTTTATTGTAAGCTTCCTGAAGGA